GGCGAAGCGGCCACGGGCGTGGAGGAGCCGCCGCCGCCGCCCGCGTCCTGGTCCTCGGCGGCTGCGCCCCCGCCGTCGGCGGCCGCGTCCTCCTGCAGACCTGCCGCTCGGGCCGCCTTCTTCACCTCCACGAAGGCGCTGCGCTTCGCCTCGCCCGTCTCGGGGCTGGGCGGCGCGAAAAGGCGGCCGTTCTCTTCCAGGCTGAAGTAGCTGCCCGAGGCGCGGTACTGCTGCGGCGTGCACACCAAGTCCTCCTTGGAGGCGGGCAGGGGCCGCTCGGCGAAGCGACCCCGGCCCCCCGCCAGCCCCACGCCGCCGCCCCCCTCCGCCGCCTCCTCCGGGAATTTCCTCTTCCCCTTGCCGCCGCCCATGGCGTTGCCGTCGGGACTCAGCTCCGCCTCCTGGTGGCCGCCGCCGCTACCGAGGCTCCGGGCCGGGGAGCAGCTGTTGCCTCCCCCCGAGTTTTCGAGCTCCCGGGCCAGGTTGTGAAAGTCCGTGGAGGGCTTGGCGCTGCCGCCGCCGCTGCCAGCCGCAGGCTGGTTACTGCCCTCGGGGGAAGGGGCGGGGTAGTGGTGGATGGGGCCGGCTTTGCCGAACTTGGGGCCAGGGCCCAAGGGCGCCTCTTGCTGATGCTGCTGCTGCTGGTCCTTGCCCCCGCCCCCGCCCCCGTGATCCTTGGTGCCCACGCCGCCGCCTTGCTCTTCTTGGGGGCTGGCATCAGCGCTGTGAAGTCTCTTGGGGCAGCGGAAGCGCAGATGCGCCACATAGGGGAACTCAAACTGGAAACGTTGGCTGCATTCCAGGCATGTGTAAGGGGACGACCCTGCTTAGTGAAAAAACACCACACACACACACACACACACACGTGCGCGCGCGCACACACGCACACCACATGATTACTAAGGATAGTCTCCAGACCAGTTTGCCATCACCCTCTTCACAAATCCACCTTCATCGCCTGAGAAAAGAGTATCCTGTCCGACCTGATCTAACTTCCCCTCCAAATCAGAGGGGAGTGCAGTAACCAAGCCAATGTCCCCCGGTTTATTCTCATCTATCGGTCCCAGCTGCATTGCGGACTATACCTCTGAAGTTTCCCAGCAGACGCCCTAAGGGAGGAAAGGCGCCAGTGCGCCAGAGTGAGCCCCCGCCTCCCCCTGCGTCTCCCCCGCTAGCGAAGGGCCCCGTCGCGGGTCGCGAGCCAACGTACCATTCATTTTGCTGTGGGATCTAGAGGGGCAGAGCAAGAGTAACTCAGTCAATTCTTTCCCATACCAAACTAGTAATTCCTCGTCTTTGGCAATCCTGCGGAGAGAGCGGTAAAACAGCTGTCCGTTTTTTATATAGGCTTCAAGGTTCTGCTCTTCTTTATCTCTGGCTGACTGGACAAGTCGCAGCCACATGAGACCTTCTGAAGAACCATTTGCCGCTGAGGTGTCTACCTACAGTTTAGAAAAAAGGAAAGAATACAAGAAGGTGGGGGTGGGGGGAGGGAGACCCTCGTGAGAGAATGAAGCCAGAGGAACCAGGACGGTTTCCTTTTTGTTATTCTTTTCCGAAGAATTATCTGAGATCAAGATTAACCGTGACCCAAGTTGGCACCCATCTTTGTGTTTGCAACCAGCAGGCAAGATAACTGCCCTTTGAAACACTGTGTCAATCATATAGATTAAGCTGTGGTTTTCATATACTGGTTGAATATCAAATGGGGGAATTTCTCCTTACAATTCAAATCAGTGTTACCCTCTTGAGAATTCACTTCTCAATTATCCCACATTACAAAACTGTGAGGAATTTTGTTTGCTTCGGAAGTTAAAAAGCAAGCTTAGATCTTAGAAACTATTCCGTGGCATTCATTCATCTTCCTAATTTTGCCTTAAACAATTAATAGGTTTTCTTTGTAAAGAAAGAATAGAAAGTGGGAGGACTTATATCTTGAAACTCAAACATATGAATTTAATGATGTTTTCTTGTCAAGCCATTAACATTTTCATTAAATACAAATTCTGGGACTAGCTAGCTTCCTAGAAAGAGTAACATTTAGAGGAAAAGAAGGCCTCCTAGGTTGGAACACAAATGCACCCAATACTTACAATAAAAGTCCTTACAGAAAGTACTTAGTATGCAAATAGGTTCCACCCTAGTTGAAATCTCCGAAAGAGTTAAGGAAGTTGTGTTCATCATCAGGAAAGCCCAGAACTGAGGCAGTGATTTAGATATACCTGGCATTCCAAATAAAATTTTGTCATTTATTCCAGAAATCAATTGACAATAATTTGAGTTTAATATTCCTTTTCTTTTCTTCTTCTTTTTTTTTTTTTTTTGGTGTGTAAAATAGGATGTCTCACATTATTTTACTTTCTACCTTCAGAAACTATCTCAGCTTGTCATTAGAATGATCCTTGGTCAATTTTCAACATGGGATTACCCTCATACCCGATGCAGCACTGGCCAAGACTTACCCGGAAGATATAGGGGACTGTTCTCTTGTCTGTGGACTTGAGAGCTATGAAAGCTATGCTGTCATACAGGGAAGTATGGCTCAGGATGCAGGGACCGAATATAGCATTCTCAGGGATGTCGCAGGTGGTGTAAACACTGGTAAAAATATCTGTCAGACATTGCTGGACAGCCTTGGCATCTCCATCCCAGATGCCTCGCTGGATGCCTGAATCCTCCATCACTGGTGACAGATACACAGGATAAGGAAACAACTTATATTACTCCTTATTTACTCCTTTTCCCCTCTATGAATCCAGGCAGAACATTTCAACTATAGACATATTTTCTTGAATTTGACTTTTTGCATAGCATTGATTTCAAAAATAAAACCAGTGGCAGATTAAATCTGGTATATTTTGAAAATGCCAACTGAGGAGTACTCCCCCCCTACCCCGCGCCTTTTTAAAATAATTGGAATCTTGGGATCTCAGAGTGGACCGCTTTTGAGAAGGAAAACAGGGCTAGGAAAGACATCAGTTTTTTGCATTACCTTGGGGGAGGATGGGCCAGGATTTGGGGGATAAAGTTGGGGAGAACAATAGGATTTTTTTTTACTAGCCTATAGACTTTTCCCGACTGAAAGAAACTTCCAATCCTTGGGAGAAAGCTCCTCTCCTCTCTTCTTATGTATCGAACTGGGTGCCCAGGAGTTGATTTTTTCTTTCTTCCAAAGAGGGGAGCAGCCTTAGTGAGCAGGCAGAGACAGCCGAGCATGGCGAATGGATTTCAAGTCGAGTGTCAGGGCCACTGATTCTGTGTCAGCTAACCTTTCTCTGCAGCCTACAAGAGGGGACGTAGGTCTGTTCATTACCATAATCCAACACTGTCCCTCCGAGGCTTTAATTAAAAGCAGCAAGCGGAGGTAATTATTTTTTTCTCGACACGCTTATTTATGGATGAGGGTGAATCCCAGTTACCTTGTTATACAAGGGGGTGGATTGAGTTGCATGTGCCTCATGAAGTGAGCAGGTACAGGGCAGGCCTGAAGTGTCCCCTGATTGAAATACTGCAGGTGTAGTGACTGGTGAATTCTCACTCCCCCAGATATGACCCTGTTTGGGTAGACCTCTGTGGGCTCTCTGACTGTTTAATCCACAGCAATTTAGAAAGTTTAATACCCTGCTGGAGGGCTCTGTTAAGCTATCATAAAAAGACATTTTCCTTCCTATGCCACTGGACACCCCTACAAAACTTGTCATTTTTTTAAAAAAACAAAGCAGGTATTTAAATTTTAAACTGGCTTTGAACTAACTGCATTGTTAAACTCTGACTGATTAAAAGATTCCCCCAAGTTGGGTTTTCCCTAATAACGTCGCCATAGGCAGTAATTTATGTACGCTTTGTATAATTTAAGTAGCAGGAAAGAGTAGACCTAATTCTTTTCCTGAGAAGCTGTTCATTATGGAATAATATTAGTAATGTCCATTTTTATCTTAATGCCTATTAACCAATTAATCTTGCAAATGTGATTACAAGGTAGAGCTGCTGCTGCTTCTTTTTTTTTTTTTTTCCTTTCTAGCTAACAGAGCATGAAACTTTGGTCAGCCTTTTTTTCCATTCACTCTGCTACATCCTCCAAATGTCAAGTATTGGGCTGTTTCTGCCAGACAGAAATAAGAGGAAATATCCATAAAGTAGAAACTTACTTTACTATATTACAGCATCTGTCTCTGGGTATTTTTACCCCACACACGGTAGCCTTTCTGATCTCTAAATGAAAATTTAAATACGTTAAAAAAAAAAAAAAACCTTCAGAATCTCTCATCTCCTTTTCAACGGAATCCTATTCTCTCCTTTTCAGTTTCCTCAATTCAGCGTTTTATGCCTCAATTTCTCTCTTCCCTTTAAAAGTCTCTTTCACACAGGCGTTTCATTGTGCCGGGAGGTCGCCCAGTCACTTCGGGCAACAGCAGGGACGCAATCATTAAAATGCAGTTCTACCTAACAATACGGTGAAAAGATCCTTGCTACGCCGCGCTAATAGGGGTTCGCGTCGCCGCGGCGGCCGCCACGAGCTGGCCACAATAACCGCTGGGCGGGAGCTTGGGCTCGCCCGCCGGCGTGCGGTCGCCTCCGCCACCCAGCCCTTCCGAGCTCTGCAGCCTGCTCTAGGCCCCAGCTCCCGTCGCCCGGGGGATCCTCCCCAGAGCCCGCGGGGCTCGCCGAGAGCGCGTCGCTGCCGCCGGCCGCTCGCCCTCTCCGTAGGCAGGCATTGTCTGGCGGCCGCGCGCTCCCCAGTCGCTTGCTTCTCCCGCAAAGTGATCCCCACCCGCTCCTCCCTTTGTATAATCTTATTGCCAGTAGAGATCCCCTCAACAATTATGTTTCCCTCTCTTCTGGTGGATGACGAGACGGACAACAAAATTTTCCACTCTCCCTACCAAACCTGCTTTCCTCCCCATCCCCCTCCCACATCTAAGCACAGAGACTTACCAGGAATAAGGTCAGGAACGAATCGCCCAAATAAGGCCACCTGGAACCGGGAGATGCAATCGAGTGGTTTCTTTTGCCTATTGTATCAGTGCATTTCCATGTCAAGAGGTGTTGGTGTTGCTGTCTGGTAGGCTGTGCCTAAAGAGGGGGGGGAGAGAGAGAGAGAGAGAAAGAGAGAGAGAGAGAGAGAGAGAGAGAGAGAGATGGAGAGATAGGGTGAGAGAGATGAGGAGAGAGTAAGAGGAGAGAGCGAGAGAGCGAGAGCAAGACAGCGAGAGCGCGCGGAGAGAGTTGTACAGATGGACCCGATGCAGTGACTGACTGGCACGCAGACACACACTTTTTGTTTGCTGCACATAATCTGCCCAATGACGCGTGACAGCCCACGTCCCCTCCCTTTAACTCTTTGCTGGGCTGGGCGCTCCCTTCGGCGCCGCCTGCCTCGCAGCGGTCTCTCTGGCCTGCCCGCGCCCCTCAGGTCCTGAATACCTTCCCCAAGTGGCAAAGCCTCTCTGAGTGCAGCCCGGCCCGCCTCCTCCTAAATTAGCTTCGGCCCTCTGGGACTGTGAGGAGGGAAAAATCAGTTTCGGGTTGGAAAGGAAGTACCAAAAGAACTGGAGCGGGCCTTTCTCCGTTTCTCTCGGCACTTGGGGAACCTCTGGCAGAGAGCTGGCCACCCAGCGCGCGCACGGAGCCCGCGCGCACTTCCGGAGTCTGAGTTCAGTAAAGGGGTGGGGGGTTGCGGATTAGCCCCTAGAGATTCCCTGGCCATTGAGCCCCCGCTGATTTGCGCAGCTAGTTCCCTGAGGGTGATAAACCGGCGCCCGCTCTCTCTTGGAGCGCTCACCCTACCAAGCCCTTCCGAGCAAGATTCAGAAAGGATGCGCTTTGGTGAGAACTTGGCTCAGTCTTCCCGGGGACCCAGAGATGGGGTGAGGAGGATGGAGCGAGGACGCCGCCAGACCACGGCAGGGGATTTACTGGGGTCATCTGGTCCCAGAACTCGAGTACCTGGGCAGGGAAAGGTGAGGGGAGATCGGTGGGAAGAACCCCGGTTACTAGACTCAAGATGTTCCTGCCTTTCCGCTCTCTGCCTGGCGCGTTTTTCGTAGTCCCCGAGGGGGTCCCATGTTGCGGGCGGCCCGTATTCTAAGACCTCGGAGGGGGGTAGTCAAAGTAAAAATTATTACCAAGATGGGCTCCGGAGAGCAATTTACATCCAGCCGGTGGTGGAAGAGCGGATGGGGTTGCCGCGGTGGTCTCGGGAGCCTCGTTTGCGCGCTAAGCCACTTAGAGGCGCTGGCTTGCCCCTCCAGTGCCGCAGCTGATGCTAATGACTTGAGGACTTTAACAGCCTGAAAGTTGACTCCTTCAACAGGGGCCGCAACACATTTTCGCTGGGGGATCTCTGGGTTCTTCTTCGCCTTTCAACTCTCAACTCCTATGGGAAGAAAGACCTTTGAGTGTATAGGCGGCTCCACTCTCTCAGCCCCACCCACAACACCGCTACTTTGAAGAGGACAATCTGTTAGCTTCAGGATAAATCGGATTGTGTCGCCGGCTGAAGTGGACCGAGCAGAACCATGACTTAAGGAGGAGACAGTCTCGTTTTTATCCAGTGTTAAAATAAGGTAAGTGGTTTGGGGGTTGGCAAAGAACAGCTTAAAAGGAAAAGGTGCTTACAGTGTTGGTTTGAGCCGCTCACGACTGTGAGACCTCCCTCCGGAACCCAGTGGGGCAGCAAGGAGCGCCCTTCCTGGGCACGCCCGCAGTCCAAGGAGGCCAGGGAAGGATTTTGCTGAGCAGAAATAAAGATGTGGGAGTAATTTTCCACTACGTGAGTTCTCTTCTTGATTTCTCTCTCTCTCTCTCTCTTCTCTCTCTGCCTCCTTCCCTCCATTTTCACCCGGCCTTGGTTAGCTCCCTCCTCCCCACCTAAGTTCCAAGTTTTTCTGATCAGACGGAGCTGCTGCCTCGGTTTAAATCGGGACTCGGCAAAAGAAGGGTTGCAAAATCCCTATAAATGAATTTCCCCTTCATTTCCAGGTTAGCTACTAACTTTTCAAAGCTTCTTAAACTGAAAAAGCTTATTTCACCTTAACCTATCATTTCTCTTATGCATGTGCGAACACGGGCAGTGCCCATGACCCTAATTCCATTAAACTGTTGAACAGAGCAATCCTTAAAGTCTTCTTTTGCTGTTATTTAGAAAAGTTTGCCTTTCCCAGAAAAAGTCATCTGTCCATTCAAGCCACTTAAAAAAAATCCTCCTACATATTGTAAATATAAGAGCATCCACTTCAGAGTGTGGGCATTTAGATAACCTTAAACTCTAAATGGAACACATTTTTTCTTTCCCTTGGCCTTTCTTTTCTTAAATATACAGGACATTTAGACTATGTCTCCTTTGAAGTTCTGAAACCTAGACTCCAGTTTGTATAAAATAAAAAATGCTTCTGATACTTAAGTTGGGGGTGGGGGAGTTTGACCTTCCAAATCCCAAGACAGAAAATAGCTAAGATTCAATACATCAACGAAGGGAGAGATGTATGGAGAATCTGACCATCAGATACTTACTCTCAGTTTCTCTTTTCTGCCCTCTACTTAAGATTTCCCCTACTGATTTCAGGCAAAAATCCCCAAATAAAAGAATTTCTAACATTCTATGAATCCAACCAACTCTTTGTCTTATGTATTGAATGACTGCTATAACAAAAAACAAATATGGGTAAGATTAAGCCTGACATTCCTACTTTGAGGGTTTTCCAGTATTTTAAGTGATGCACATTTTGCTTGGTAATATAAATGGTCTTAATGACAATTATTAATAGGATGTAAAGAAAAATCTACAAATTACTTTTATTTCCCTAGAAATTTATGGGATAAAATGGTGCATAAACTACTTTGAAATCACTCCGCATTATTACTTACTGGAATTCACTGATACTAAATGAAGGATTGAGGCATTTATTCAGTTTCAAATAGTACTATAAAAATGCATCTCAGTCAATAGTTGTATCTAATTCACAAGGAACAATGGGTTTATATTTGGAGCACTTTTCCATGGGATTTTATTTCCAATTAAATGATTAGAGAGATAACAATGAAGAGTGAAGGTATGTTCACCTTGCTCCCTTTAGCAAGGCTTCATGCAGTTATGGTAAAAAATACACATGTAGACAACTGCAGTATTGTTTTGGAAGAGAAGGCTGGAGAGAGGTTAATGAATGATTCCCGAGGTGGTGCCTTTTATGAACTAAGTGAGAGGGTGGAGAAAGGGGAAGAAAGAAAATCTGATTCTTAGTGAGTATTAGAATGGAAAAGTCCTTTTTCCTCCCAGGGTAGAGAAGTAGGGCCCAAAATCCTTCAGCTTCTGTGAAAGGAGGCTAGTGAAGTCTCTAAGAATAACTCATTTAGAAGGATTATTACCCTTTAAGAATGAAAACACATTGTTTCTCTTTCTCTCTTCCTTTCCAGGTCCTGGTTCATCCCCCTCTAATCCTACCTCCAAAGCACTATACCAGCAAAGCCTCAGTTGTCCAGTTAAAAAAAAAATCAATTCATGGTGAAAGGGAGAATACACTGGAAGACAAGAGGATGGCCAATGAAACAGTGTGTGGAAACTTTTTCCTAAGCTTATCAATGTCACATAGGGAGGTCTCAGGACAGGGCTGTGAGGGTTGGGGGAGGTAAAGAATGGAACTTCACAGTGGGATATTGCATTGCACAGCCTCACCTTGGAGAATAAGAAACTATCTAAGGGATAACTCAGAGACAAGAAGAGGCAGACTTGCTGAGCTGGAAAAAGTTTACAGGGATTGGGGGCACTTTGTTTTTTATAAGTGTACATGGTAATCTCAGTTTGGGTCTATTCCTTGCGTAAGTATTACAGTTGGTTCATCAGGTGATAAATGAATATTTCCCAGGCTGGTCCTGGCATAGCCAGACTCTCAAAGGATGGATAATTTGGTAGCCTGGGAGAAGGGACTCCAGTCTCCCAAGTTCAGGGATCATTACTCCTGACTCACATTGTTCTTGCTTCAGCTTTTCCTGTTTCTCAATAAATGGTAGCTGTTTTTAATGCTGCTTCTATACTACAACTATTGTCATTATGATTATAACCTACCTTTCTCAAGTTTATAACCTTCTCTGTGAGGGATCTCAAGTTCCACTCACCCTTCTCTTGGGAGTTCAGCTGTGAGCTGGATAATCTTTGAGGACTTTGTGTAATTCATTTCCTCTCCTGGATCTGAGTTGTAGTTAACTGGCTTAATGGCTTTTGAGTATGACTTCTAGCAGGGCTAGCAAACTGAAGAGATATTGAAGACAACTACCACAAATCTGAAATCAATGCCTCATGCTTAGCTGTGTGAGTGTGACCTGTGGACCAGATCCAATATCCAGCATCCTGACCCCTTAGATTCTCCCAGCTTTGATACCATTCCCCATACAATATCTAGAGAGCTGGCAGGGAATATCCCAGTTTTGTCAAATCTGTGGGTGATGATGTCCTTCCCAGACTCAGACACCACAGCCCTTGAATAGGTCTCAGCAGGAGGAGTAAGGTAGACAGAAGGAAATGTAAGCAGGGCCACAGTCAGCCACTCAGAGCTTCCTCACCCCGTGGGGCCAGGATACTGGAGATGAAGGGCTGTCCAGTAGTCTCAAATGGGAGAGAGCATCAGATTTTAGGAAGACTGTGTCTAGGCCTTGGAAATGTCACTAAGTTGAGAGGTTCTACATCAAATTTCTTTACACAGCCAGGAGAAGGGACATTATCTCAATAGTACTTGAGTTCCACCTCTTTTTCTCTCTGTTTTAGGCTGTGTATAATTCCTGAGTTAAAAAGACAGGTGCTGATTGACATACATTGGATTCATAATAGGAAGATTACATAGCATCTGATCCCAGCTAGTTCTCTGAGGTATGGACTTTGATTTTAAATTGGGCTGCTGGGGGATGAGCAGCATAACACATTCCTCTCCTGGGAAGGGGTGTCTAGGCAGAATGCACACATGCCCAGGACTTTCTAGTTTGGAATCTGTCCATGGCATACGTTCCTGAAGGATTTATCTGATTTTTTCTAAGGAAAAGGGAGACAAAAAAGAAAAAAAAAATGAAAAGGATTTGGGGGAATAGATATCAATCAGTAACCACAACAGCAGCGATTCATATTGCTTTGTTAGAGCCTTGAAAATATAGTTTGATTTCTTCACAAATTATGCTCTCATACCTAAACTGTTCCCCTGGTCATACCACATATTGGACTCTTTGAGTGAAAACCATCTTTCATGATTTCAATTCAAATGAACTGCCAGTGTTTCATGATTTAATCCAGGCATATTAATTTAGCATCGATGAGGGAATGTCTCCCCAAGCATCATATGGAAAGCCTATAGCTTTTAGTAGATTTTCATAAGCACTTAAAAACTACCAATGTAAGTCTTTCTTCAATTATACTTGAAAAAGTGGTCTCTCAGAGAATTCAAAGATCAACTTGTCACAAAAAACAGTAACTGCATGACTACTATAAACAGTACTACTGTATATACATTACAAAATGTCAGAAATAACAGGTAAGGGGATTGAAAGTTACACTTGTTCTCTTGAACTTGCTGATTGAAAAACCAGTTCCCAGATTGACTTGATAGTCTTCTGGTAATTTAATATAAAGGTAACCAAGATATAATTCATAATCTCCTCTAAAGTTCTGAGGAAAATTCATATTTTAAAAAATAATATCCAGAAGTATCAAACAAATTATTCACAAAGCCCAAGAAAAATAAACATATTGAATATGACCTGGATGTTGAGATTTCCTGAAGGCCTAAAATTCAGTTTAGGTCTGAACAATTTTTATACCTAATCAGATATGGTCCTTTAGTGTGTGTGTGTGTGTGTGTGTGTGTGTGTGTGTTCGTGTTTATGCAGGTTGGGAGTGAATACTGTTGAGGGTAGCAATTAAAAAAAAACTTCCAGGACTGTCATTTTTCTTGGCTCCATGTTCACAGAGTAGTCAGTGCTCCTTGTTGCATGTTTTCATGTAGGATGGTTTTGAGAAAATAGCCTGTGTGAAGTCCTGTAGAAGAGCAATTGTTCCTGGAGGAGCAAAGCTGAATAGAGTTCTAAAGAATATATTTCCCACATGATCTGAGTATCTACTACCTTCTATGTGTGATCAGATGCCTCAGAGCATAATCTACATTCTAGACTCAGTTTACCTGGGGCCCTAGGAAGTTAATATTTCCAGACAAGTGGGAATCATCTGAATGTGTGAAAATATCTTGAGGAAGTCAATGTACTGAGAGTGTAGCTGTTTCCATTCTTATGTCTGCTATAGGCAGATAGTTTCTGATGTCTGGAGTCCCTGGTGTTGATGTCTCAGTAAAGAGCTGAGCGACAGAGCTAAGAGTGCAGAGAAGGCCAAATGACAGAGATGGGCTTCATTGTGGGGCTAACGAGGTCTCCCTGAGAGAGACTCAGGAGGTCACTACCCCCACAGTACCGGGAAGGGCAGGTACGGCTCCCACTACGTTTGGAATGAGTCACTAAAGAGTACAGAGCCCCGACACTGGATGGGACCTGGGAAGAACAAGACTTGCCACCTTCACTGGGGGTGTCTCTTTTAGAAGCAGTCAGCGCAAACTCTGAACGTGGGGGCCAGAAGAGGCCACGCGGTGTGCTAGGTGTGCTCCCCATACGCCCTGGACTAAGCAGGAAGAAGCACCACGTTTTCCACGTTCTCCAGCCTCCTGCCGCCTCCCTGGAATTATTGCCAACTCCTGTCTCCTGCTAGGCGCCGCGGGCAGAAGGGCGTCCTGAAGGCTGGGCTTGAGGGAGCAGCAATGCTCTTTTTACCACTGCCACCACCCTCCTCCCCACCCCCTTCACACGTCCTCCTGCAGTAGGTCTCCTCCGAGCCTTTTCAGAGGCATGGGCTTATGTTCTCACCTCTTACGGGCTGGGTTGCCAGTGACCTCGCCCAGCCTTGGCTTTCCTCCTCAGCAAACTAGGGCTGGAAAGGGCTGCCTCCCGGGTCGGGTCGCGGTGAGGACTGAGAACGAGGGTGAACGCGTTTTGGAAAGCCAATTCCTGAGCAGATGGTAAGGGATTACTTCCAAGAGCTGGGGTTAGTTTCATTGCAGCCTTGAACATCCCAGAGAGGTCGCAGTGCCTTTATTAGGGAGCCTTCTTGACTCAGATGTCTGGAGAACTGACCCAAGAAGGACCTACAACTCAGGTTCAGGCCCCACCTCCACCAGGGGAACAAAACTCCCCGGGTTTGAATCCCAGCCCCTGACGTTGGGCAGGTAATTTAACCGGTCTGTGCTTCAGGCCTTCATCTGAGAAGCGGGAGTGGTAAAGGAAATTCTCCTCGTAAAGTCATTGTGAGGGGTGAGGTGATATTTAGCGAGTGCAGAGAACAATGCCTGGTACATAGTAAACAGCTCTTTCAGTGCTGGCTATGGCTACTGTTAGTGACATTGCCTTCATTTCCTTTTTAGAAAATTTAGGAATTGTATTGTGCACCCGCATTCGAAGCCACTCAGTGAAGGCTAAAGGATTTCTCGAAGTTTCTAGGGAAACCAGAAGGAGGTACTGGATGATAAAGGAGGCGGGAGGAATCTGTTCAGGTGTTCAGGGATCCCTTCTACTGCCAAAGGAAGGGCCCGAATGTTCCAAGCACAGGCGCAATCCCCATTCCCTCCTCCCCTCTTTATTTCGGAAGAGGCAGTTTTGTGCCGGGAGGCCGATTAGATTTCTATCCCTCTTCCGCCAGGGAGTCCTTCCGGTAGAACTGATAGCGGCGCCACGTTAGAAACGCCGGTTAGTCAGGGCAGCAAGGGCTGGGGTCCTGCGACCCCAAACGTAGGACAAAGAGTATGTGAATGCCTCGCTGGTTAATTCAAGAGCTGTGGCCAGAAAGCCAAAGTCTGGGTGGCCAGAGAAACCTGGGGAACCAGGGCTCAGGGCCTCCGAGCCGCGCTGCCCCTCCTCTCCCTCGAAGGGCGGCGGCTCCGCAGCGGGAGGCCCCGGGGCTGAGTGGGAGGCTCCGGCCCTCCCCTACACACCCGGCGGGAAGCTGCCCTGCTGGCTGGGACTTCGAGCAGCGTGATTCCACACCAGCTATCTTCTGGCCCCGCCCCCGACGCCCGCACGCGGGCTGCGCGCGGAGCATTGTGGGCCGCACGGCCGACGGAGTCCCTCTCCCGGCCAGGGCTGCGGGGCTGAGCTTTCTCCCCGGGCTGTTCGCGGCTTTCGGCGCAGCCGCAACCCGGAGCGGACGCGTTGTGTTCGCCGCACGCCTACAGCTTCAAGCTCTGCGAAATCTCCCGCCCAGGCAAGTTCCCGGCCTCAGAGGTCAGTTGTGGCCTCCTTATTGCTCTTTCTTGTGAAGGATCCGAGAGGCAGTGGTTAAGAGCCCGGAATTTGGGATCCTAAACACTTATGTTTGAACCCCAGATCTGCAATCTACTAGCTGTGGGTCTTTGAGCAAATCACCCAACCTCTCTGAACTTTAGTTTCCTCATTTGTAAAATAGCAAAAACAACATTTATCTCATAGAGTGGCTATGGATATTGCAAGAGCAAGCCTGGGTTCAGATCCCAGCTGGATACTTGCTTGGGTTAGTTAGCCTCTCTGTGCTTCTGTTTTCTGTGAAGAAAGGGGATCTGTGAACTAGAGAGAATAGTGTTTGACTCGGAGGATCATAATTAAATGCGATAAGCCTGGCAGAGCATTCAGCCTAGCACACAGTAAGAGCCCAAACAGTTAATTATTTAAGGTATCTCAGTGCCTGCCACTTTGAAATCTAGGTAAATGTAATTTATAAGTCCTGGTTTTTCTGCTCCGCTTTTTCTCCTCTTCAGAGAGAAACAATGCACAAGGGTGTGCGTGGCTATGTGGGGTGATAGTGCCTGCAGAATTGGGAAGAACTAGCTTGTGGCAGAAAGTTAGAGGACACTTCCGGAAGCTGCATGCCTTTCCTTCTATCTAGCCTTTCCTCTTCAGTTTCTAGGGACAAGGTAAAAGAATAGGAAAGG